TAAATCTACCGTCTGTTAATTTTTTTGTGGCAATCTTTCCAGATAAAGACCGTACTGTAAAGTCAAGGCAGTAGCGTATAGTCCATTTTTTTATACCAAACGTACTTCAGTAAGTTTTACAATAAACTTGTCTTCTAGTCCCATTATTATTTAAGAAATATTGTAGCAATGAGTAACGTCTACAATTTTCAGCTTGACTTCTTTGTCGTTTGATAGTGTGTGTTTTTCAACTGTATTTACAATAAATGTTTCTCTTTGGTCCTATGTCACGGTTTTTCAAAACGAACTAAAAAGTTCTTGCCTCTTTTGCTCGGTAATTTCATTGCAGGTTCTAACCTTCGATTTTCGGCACATCAGAAAAGAACAGTGTGTTCACATTTTTCGTTGACCTCTCTCACGATGTTAGTCAAACTTCATAGCAGAGATGGCACTCTAACAAGAAGATTATTCCGAACAAATAATATTAATATGTTTGCTATCTACTTTTTGAAAGTAAAATATGGAAGATAATTATGGCGAACTTTATTGAATTCCGTGTTTTAAGCAATAAACCATAATTATTACCATAAATCTAAAGATTACATTTTTAGATACAAAATTTATTAGTTTTTAAATTAAATATTAAAAATATTTAAAAAAATGGTAACTTTTCCTACTACTCCAGCTACCTATATAAATAGATAATAGTGACTATAGTGAAATAATTTGATTAATTTTTTAAAAATATAACGACAATAATTTTATTTATGAATAAGTGTGGAATATACGAATAAATAATTGTGTCCTGTGTGAAGAATAGAATATATGAATAAATACTTGTATCCAACTTGTTGCCGAGAGGCGTCGATAGGACTGGAATGGCCCATATCTGGCTCAGCGGTCTTCTTGCGATCCTGTGAGTTGGATCGGGAGGTGGTACGGGTGTCTACCATCCTTCCAAGTTGCAGTCCTTAGGTTTTATGTATACGAGGATACAAATGCAGGTAATATAATGACTCGTGTTTGATCCTTACGGAAATATCACAAGTCAGTGAGTTTGAATATGTTCAAAATAGCAAATAAACAGTGAATAAATAGATATATGGTCCTTATATGAGAATAGGATATCAATAATAGCATAAAAATTGAAAGAATTCAAACAAACAGAAGATTGTGTGCACCAATCGAAAAATCACGCATATATAAATGTTATGCAACAATTAAAAGGCATATGGTGGTATTTCTTAACTTACGGAAGAAATACCGATACGTGTCTTGTGTCTCCTTGACTTACGGAAGGATAACAAGAGAAAAAAATGATAAATCAAAAGCAATAATAAAATAGCAATGATAAGCAACAAATAAATGCGTATGTTTCAGACGCTATGCCTCGGAGAGGTTTCCGTAAGAAACATACAAATAAGTCAAATAAGTGGAGGATTGTCAAGAGTTTAGCTACGCAAGAATATATTCTCCGACGAAAAATATGGCACAATGAAATGGCAAATGATAAACAACAAATAAATGCGTATGTTTCAGACGCTATGCCTCAGAGAGGTTTCCGTAAGAAACATACAAATAATCAAATAAGTGGAGGATTGTCAAGCGTTTAGCTACTCAAGAATATATTCTCGGACGAAAAATATAGCACAATGAAATGGCAAATGATAAACAACAAATAAATGCGTATGTTTCAGACGCTATGCCTCAGAGAGGTTCCCGTAAGAAACGTACAAAAACACAAGTAAAATATCAAGAAAATATCAATAATAATATGCACACAAATATAGAAATCAATAAACAATAGCAAAAAAATAAATATGGTACAGAGGAGACTGTCTTGAGAAAGACAGTCAATTTCTTACATGAATAAAGTACCAGATGGTATTTTCTCTGTGTATGATCGGAGAAATATCACAGCAGAAAATACGACAAAATACATATATAAAAATGCACATAAAATCAGCAATAAATCAATATAAAAATACAGGAAAAATAAAAGGCAGATTCTAGGTGGATGTAACACACCGTACCTAGTGTCTTCTACTATAGTTTATTTTTATGAACGAGAGAGTAATTAGCATAATTTTAACTGGTACCTTCGACCACTCCATGGGCGTGCTCAAGATTAATTGAAAAATAACTTTGAATAATTGTAAAAAATAAATGAATTATTTCAGTGTTATAAAGTGTTATGTGTATGTAAACAAAAGTGACCTCTTTTATCACACACTATATTAGAACTGACTGGCCTACATTAAAAAGGGTTTTAAAAAATTCACATTTTTTTTAATTTTTAAAAATTACAAAAGAGAAAAAGAGTTTTTAAAACCGTCTAAGGTATGTTAAATAGATGAATAAAAATATTAATATAAAACTTACAGCTACTTGTTACAAATCCAAATCAGATTCAGAAGATGAACTTTCAGAACCAAGATTTATAATAACTGGCTCGATCATTTTATCAGTAATATTGTCCAGCTTCCACATTTTTTCCTCTTCTTTAATAGTGTGATTTACTGCCTTTTCCCAGTTTTCAGGTTTTACATTATTTACGGCCTCCAAAAACAACTGTTTAACATCATGAATTTTAAAAGTGGTATTTTTTCTTGAAACTTCACTCTTTATCTGTGCCCATACCAGTTCAATCGGGTTTAATTCACAATGATATGGTGGGATCTAAGTACTGTCATTCCACGATTTTTGGCAATTTCATCAATTTCGTATTTTTTAAATTTTTCTTTATGAAGGGCACACAACGAATAAAGTTCCTTTCTTATAGATCCGGGATGGTACGTAATATTTTTTGAACTCAGCCAATTCTGCAAGTCTTTTTTTAACCACTTGGTTGTGGGCAGTCCTTCTATAAGTCTGGAGTGATAACTTGCATTATCCATTACTATTACACAGTTCTTAGGAAGAAGATCTATCATTTGTTCGAACCATTCTTGAAAGACATCAGCGTTCATGTCTTCATGGTAGTCACCGGTACGAGTTGATTCAAAAGTTAATAAACCACCTTCAACAAAACCGTCTGAACTGCCAATGTGTACTATTATCAGCCTGCGTCCCTTTCCTGATGGTGGGTTTAAACCAGTAGATAAGTTATTTACAAAAGCGTGCCTTTGACTTGTAACAGTTTCATCCTGCCAAAATTTATTTGGTGTATGACCCTCGTTGATCCATGTTTCATCAAGATAAAATATTTTTCTTTTTTGGTTTCTCATTTCCTTTATGGTTCTTAGAAAATGTCTTCTCCATATGACAATATCGCTTCTTTCTAATAAAATAGACTTTCTGGGATTCTTTTTCCAGCGGAAGCCTATTTCTTTTAAAAGTTTCCATAACGTACTTCGACTCATTTCTGGGTAATCCTTATCATCTCGAACTGAGACAAGAACTTTATCCAATGTTGGAAATTCTTGTCTAAAGAAGAATTCATGCACTTTCCGTCGAAGTCCTTCTTTAAAATGATATTCTATTTGAAATTTTGGTTTCCCTGGAGCATTACGTGGCATTTGAAAACTACCACATTTCTCTTCTTTAATAACTCTGTAAATCGTAGATTTCCCAACACCAAGTGTACTGCTAACTAACTCAACGGTCTCATCAACACTTTCACATAAACGTTTGTCTGTAAATGATTTAAAACAATTAAATATTAATGTTTTTTCATTAACTGTTAAAGGACCAATTTTTCGGCGTTTACACGGCACTTCCAAATTTTCCATAACACTAGTATACACAATAAACTGCACCTTGCAACTGAAGTACCTACTTTTAGTGAACTGTTAAGAATTTTGAATACGCCACTTGGACCTTCCTACAAAATGGAAAAACCCACTATCACATTTTCTGTGGAATAAGTTTAGAAGGTAATTATCTAGTCAATTACTGTCGTAGATTCCTGGAATTAAAGAATTAAATGTTTGATTGTTGAAACCCTTACTTCGTGGAATGCACTCATTTCAGATAAAATAAAACGTTTTATTTTATCTAAAGAATTAAACTTTATTTTGCAAATAGGTAGGTACTTATTAAACTTTTATTGGTTATATATAACCAATAAAATAAACATCTTACATTTCTTGCAAATTCATTAGTACCTGTTAACCTCCATCACTCCGACACTGGCAACCATATTTAGGGATTAGTAACCCTCACAACTATTGTATTCTATTCTGCTCCAACCTTTATACCTGGTGGTCATACTCAATTTAAAATTGTTTTCCTATATACTTCTGTAAACTTAATAACATACATAATAACTAACTATAACATACATAATAGTATATTACATAACGAGAGTTGTAAGAAGCTTATTACATGCGAGTAAAAAAGTTGCGCGCGAGCCGCGTAGCGGCGAGCGCAGTAATTTTACAAGCATGTAATAAGCTTACAACTCAAGTTGTGTACTATACTTTTTCTACCATTATTTTCGTTTATAAAAATAAAAATTAAATTACCACTATATTTACACTGACAGATTAATAATTTTTAATCTGTCAAAATAACGTCTGTTAATTCGTTTCCATGGTAACTCGACCAACTGACTTACAAGGCTTATGTGATATTACACATTTTTATAAAACTGAAGCGTAATTTTTTTTATTACGTGCTAGTCATTACGTGTCAGTATTAGTAATGATGCATTTACTTAGCATCCAAATAGTAGGTAATATACAATTTACTAGTAAGAGAGTAGAAAAAACATATTTTACAGGTACGTAGTTTCGTATCGCCCGCCACTGATGTGACTTAATGCAAAATTTCAAAAATTTACCGAATTTATTAATTAACCAAAAAGAATACATTAAATCATCGAATTGAACACATATTGTTACCAATTTAAAAAAGATATCGGAAAATATTGAATCACTTCTCAAATTCACGCTACAGCTTCAGCTACAGCTACATGTAAAAATATCAATAGGCTCCATCCTTGCTATATTATATCGATCTTTAATAGTATTTATACAGTTTGGTTTAATTTAAGACTAAACTATTTTTTTTTGTTTTAGGGGGATACAACGATGAAGAAGGATATTTTGGACCATGGAAAACCTGTAAATATTTGTTATACAATAGGGAACGATGTGGAAATAACGACTCAAGGTTTAGGCCCTCTGGTAAATATCCATTGTTTTTTCTTAAAATTACTGTAGTTTTCTAATTTCTTTACATCTATAGATCGTATTGCATTACTACAATTATTGCGAATTAATAGAATAAAAGTATAAATAAGTAAAAATTAATAAAGTATTTAAATTTGACAAAATATAAATTTGTATAAAAAAAATGAGCGAATTAAAAGCAACTAGCTGTTGTCACTTTAAGGAAATGTCCCGAGAAAAATATTTGCGAGTTCCACAAGAAAGTAATTACAATATCGGGAACTTTTATTCTGGGCTGTGTAATGTTCTTACTTACTTACTCCGTGGCGTTACAACCCTTCGTGGGTTTTAGCCGACTCGACAACATGCCTCCACTGTTTTCTGTCTTGAGCAACCTCCATCCAATTCTCCACGCCCATAGTGCTTAGGTCTCCTGCTATATTATCTCGCCACCGGAGACGAGGGCGTCCGCGTGGTCTCCTTCCAGTTAGGACTTCCTCCCATACCAGTCTTACTGTTCGTTCGTCAGAATGTCTTCTGAGGTGTCCTGCCCATTGGAGTCTTCTGGACTTTATTTCTTTTATGATGTTGGCGTTTGGGTAAAGTTCTTCAAGCTCTTTATTAGTTCTTATCCTATATTGTCCTGATGCTTCATCAAGCACCGGACCAAAGATCTTCCTTAGGATTTTTCTTTCCCAAACACGTAGTCTCTCTTCATTTGCCTTTGTTATCGTCCACGTTTCGCTTCCATACATCACAACGGGTCGTATGATTGTTTTATAGACCTGTATCTTCGTACGTCGTGTTATTTTTTTTGATTTTATAAGGTTTTGGAGGGCAAAAATACATCTGCTGCCGGCCTGAATCCTGTGTTCTACCTTTCTTATTTCACAAACTGTTTTTGTTAATAACGTTAGTATATTTAAACGAAATTGATTTAAATTAAAAAACAGAGAAAGTACTAGTTATTGGCACGTTGCCTGCAGTTATTGGCATTCACATGGCTGTTGTAGTCATTGGCACCTACCTGCAGTAATTGTTACACGTCTTGCTGCAGTTAATAACATCACTTTCATAGTAATGAAATAAAACAATAAGACCTCAAATCACTTTAAATAAATGTTTACATTTATTAAATAAAAAAAACTGTAACTTAAGATGAAATGTTTTGAAAAACCTTAAATGAATAAACAAAATTTTATTGAAACTTAAAATAAAAATCTTTATTGTATAAACAGAAAAGATAAGTAACAATAAAACACTGAAAACTTTGTTTTTAAACTTCCACAAAATTTATTTTAACTTATCACTACAGCTGTTTCGGCTGATTGCCTTTCTCAAGTGATCTATTTTTGGCATGCGTTTACATTTTATAGTCTCTAATGGAATAGGTTGAGGAGGGGAGAACTGTTTGTCTCAAGTTGGTCATTCAAAATTATATCTGTGTTTTTTAATTTGTTGATTTCCATAGATTCTAACAAGGATAGCTTAAGGCCTTTATTTTGAATGTAAAGAATTTTAAATTCGTCATTAAAAGAATGATTGTGATCTAGAAGGTGAAGTGCGTATGTAGAATCTGTTTTTCTATTATTAAAAGCCCTTTTATGTTCTGCTATTCGTTTATTAAAGTTTCTACCAGTTTGACCGATGTAAGTTTTTGGGCAGTCGCCACATTTAAGTTTGTACACACCACTGTGTAAGTGTTTTTTATTTTGGATCTTGTTGTTTTTGATATATTTGCCTAGGTTGTTATTTGTTCGAAAAGCTTGTGTTATTCCTTTCTCTTTCATGTGTTTGGCTATTATAGTTGATATTTTGCCTGTATATGTAATCGAGCAGAAGTTACTGGGTTTTTTCTCTGGTGGTGGAAATACTAATTAAAGGGCTTTCTTGTGTAGTTTTTGATTTAACATTTTATTAATTGTTTGTTCGTTGTATCCGTTGTTTACTGCAACGAACAAACAATTAATACAATGTTAAATCAAAAACTACACAATAAAGCCCTTAAATTAGTATTTCCACCACCATAGAAAAAACCCAGTACCTTCTGCTCGATTACATATACAGGCAAAATATCAACTCAAATAGCCAAACACATAAAAAAGAAAGGAATAACACAAGCTTTTCGAACAAATAACAACCTAGGCAAATATATCAAAAACAACAAGAGCAAAATAAAAAACACTTACACAGTGGTGTGTACAAACTTAAATGTGGCGACTGCCCAAAAACTTACATCGGTCAAACTGGTAGAAACTTTAATAAACGAATAGCAGAACATAAAAGGGCTTTCAATAATATAAAAACAGATTCTACACACGCACTTCACCATCTAGATAACAATCATTCTTTTAATGACGAATTTAAAATTCTTCACATTCAAAATAAAGGCTTTAAGCTATCCTTGTTAGAATCTATGGAAATCAACAAATTAAAAAACACAGATATAATTCTCAATGACCAACTTGAGAGTTCTCCCCTCCTCAACCTATTTCATTAGAGACTATAAAATATAAACGCATGCTAAAAATAGACCACTTGAGAAAGGCAATCAGCCGAAACAGCTGTAGTGATAAGTTAAAATAAATGTTGTGGAAGTTTGAAAACAAAGTTTTTAGTCGTTTATTGTTACATAAAATGAATTTTCATCAAGTTAGGGTCGAATCCATGAATTATTAAAAAGATAAGTAAATACGCATTTCTTTGGAACACTTTGCATAAATATTGTGGTGTGTATAAATCTTTTTCAGTAGGATTTGTAATGGTACATTATGACACTTTTGGCACTTAATTCGAAAATTTACCACTGTTGCATTTTTCGTACATATAAAACACAATACATATTACTAATGACATCCAAAAAATGTTACCAACAGCAGCAGAAAGCCTCTCATACAGGTATATGATCATCAGAGTTACTGATCCAGCAGCTGAGAAGGTGAACGTCACAGTAATATTGGCCTTTGCTGTTGCTTCATCCATTTGGTAAACATTTTTAGCAACGCGAGGAGCAACAACTTTATCCTCCTTAGGACAAACGAGGAAACAAGTTTTGTCCTCATTGTACAGTCTTTTTGGATCTTGCAATATATAAAATTAATTTTTCTTTTTAATATTCTTCCAGTTTTTTAATATCCTTCTTAGATACGCACGTGCTTGCTTTAGTTACCGCTTCTGGAGTTACAGGGTCAGGCTTAAATGACGCTTAAAGAATTCTTTAACCAGTGTCGTCCAGGTTGGTTGTACTTGAATAGAGTCGTCTTACGGGATCAGCGCCCAAGAATGTTTTTACTAAAGACTGAATATCGTCCCTTTTTTTGGGGAAACCTTTCCTGTGGCCGTCAGTAATCAACTCCTCCAACACATCTTCCTAGGCTAGACTTCCAAGTGCTACAGGTAATATATCCTACATGGGTTTGTGACTGACATTTCCTTCTTCTCTACCGTTATCTAAGTCCTATTCGGCATGCTTTTTCAGAAAAGCTCTATCCCGTCACAGTTTATGACTTGTTGGGGGATGCATAACTAGCTTCTATCAGTTCAAAAAACGTTTTGATATAAACCTCAGCTGCTTTTACTTCCAAACTTGCTTTCTTGCCATAACCTTTTTTTCTTTAATCCGCTTTAGGGAAGTGAGGAAGCTCACTTCCTTTAACCGGCTTTTCTGTCAATCACATCGTCAGTAGTTTCTCCAATTTTTATGGGGAGAGATCCGAAGGTTAGAAATTATTGTAACACCCTGAACTGGCGTTATAGCCTTTATCAACTTCTTCTGTTTAAGCACAGTACACACAATTAATATTTTGCGTCCCTACGCCTTTGCCAATTCAATTACTCGCAAACCTTGCTCATATTTTTCTTGGATTTTACTCTTTAATTCAACCTTCCTCTTCGGATCCATGGTTTTAAAAATAAAAATGATAATGTTTTGTAAATATACAAAAAGCAAAAAAACGCAAACTCAACTCGTCTGACCACTCGGTCTTCCACTGAGGTGGAAGAAACTGTTAGACGCTGCACATGACCCCAACATGCAGGGCGCATATTGGTGTCGTGAGCAACGATGTAGTATGCTATTCCTCGTATATTAAAACACTTATATATTAGGGCAATAATATATCGAGGTAAAACAGTATTATCTTTTCTAAGCAGTTGCATAAATATGACTCTTTTGGAGAGATTGGGACAAAGTTCTTTACGAAGACGTTCCAGTTTTATTTTAGTGGTATTCCAATTTAATATCTATACTAATTCCCATCATAATTTGCTTATGCCAAGAATATAAATGTTCTTTCTATTCGGATCCTTGATTAGATTTTATAGTTTGCTGCTACGAATAATCTAACATTCCATGCAGCAATGGACCATCAGATGTGTACCAAATGCAGACATGCAGATTGTGTACCAAATTTTTATCAGGAGCTTTTCAGCTTTTGTGTGCACTTTCCATTGTTTGTTGTGCTGTCCCTTTTATCTTGACTGATTGATCTAAATAAATCTTCAAATTAAGGAAACAAAAAGGTATAGAATTAGAATTATTTAAAAATTCTGAAATGACTTAATCAATTAAATTATTAAAGATATTACAGTAAATTAAGCAAATTGTAACAAATCATTAAAGAAATTTTATCATACACATAAAAATAAAGTAAGAAAAATTAAATACCAGAAAATTGGTTCCAAAAGCGAAAAAAACTTTTTAAAAAAAAAAGTTTTTAAAAGAAATAAATTACAAATTTATTTTTTTTTTCTTTAAAAACTACTTTTTTGGAGATTTCAAACAATCCCTACAATATATTTCGCGTCTTATATTTCTATCACTTAAGATAAATTTTCTCTAAATAGTGTTCAATCGAAATCAATATATTTCTCATTAGGAATTGGCTTAGTTGCCATAATCTTAAGCCTGCTTTAACCATGTCGAAAGTACCTAATGAAACGAGTGATAGATTTTGTGCCCCCACCCACCAATACACTATAATTGAAAATCTCAAAGATATATGTTTCTCAACGTA